TCTTAGTTTGAGAGTTTTAGCAGTTTGACCGTAATAAACTTTATCGCAAATTTTACAGGGAATTTTATAAACACATCTTAGACATATTTTGGGGGGAATTCTTTATCAAAAGTTTTTTTACTGTATCAATATTTTTAAATACAACTTTGATATTAAAAATATTAAGAAGAGAAGGCATATCAACCAAGTTTTCATGGTAAGGGAGAACCAACATATTTTTAGTTGAATAAGGTTGGTTGTCCCTTTTTGGATTGTAAAAAGTATTTCTAGCAATTTTAATAGATTTATCAATTACGTTTCTTGGGTATTTCAGATAATTAGCTATTTCATAAATTTTGGATATTTCTTCATCTAAAAACTCTGGACTACAAATACGCAAAGTTCTCAAAAACATTGATGAGTTAAACTGACGTGGTATGAAGTTTTGGTGCATAGACACTGGTCAGGCGTCACCAGTCCATCAACCCACCTGGCATATTGAACAATCCTGTGATTTTGTATAGCATTGTTGTTTAAGATTGTGTACAGTGGACTCTAATAAATAGTTATCGAGCTTGTATAGCCCACAATTTGAGTTGTATACTGTATTCCTTTCATGTTTCAAGAGGGAAGATTCAATTATGTTTCTTTCCATGACAGAAGTTTGGTACTATAATCTAGGCAGCATCTCATTCCGGTGGGTGATTACATGCACTAACGTGGTTAAAGATAGCATTAGTTCATGTAATCACCCACCGGAATGGGATGCTTCCCAGATTATAGTATCAAACAATTTTGTCATGGAAAGAAACATAATTGAATCTTCCCTCTTGAAACATGAAAGGAATACAGTATATAACTCAATTTATGGGTTATACAAGCTCGATAACTATTTAGTAGAGTCCATTGTACACAATCTTAAACAACAATACTATACAAAATCACAGGATTGTTCATTATGCCAGGTGGGTTGATGGACTGGTGACGCCTGACCAGTGTCTACGTACCAAAACTTCATACCACATCAATTGTGAATGGTTATGTGACGCGTTTAGCTGTTAGAGTACCATACAGTGACAAGCACGAGATAACATGAGGAGAGGTTAAAGGGTATTAGGAGAAATTAGAAATTTAGATCATAGAAATATTATCGGAAAGGCATAGAAGATTCCTAAGTCAGGCATATTAACAGACACTGAGAAAAAATAGTAGACAATATTTAGGAAGAGATACTTGTGAGTACCTCAGTAGAACATTCGAGTACCTCAGAGCAGGACATTTAAACGGATAAAGAGCACATTCTATTCCTTTCTTTTATTATTTAAAAAGGTTACACAGAATAATAGCAATCCATGTATATAGTATCCAACGAGAAACGTATTTTGTCAAACCACATGACCTGTTATAAACGACTAGAAAAAGGTTGGGGCTGGCTATTATACCTTATAATTTCAGACTTGACATCTCAGAAACCCTCCTACCCAAAATGGGGAGTAGGGGGATGATGGTCAAGTGGGGCTGGCACTGACCACTTTATAAGGGTAACCGTAGCTAGTGGCACATCCGCACTACCCTACTCTGAGATCTATCTCCCTGCTTTAGTTGCTCTCTTGCAACATTGCATATCTTATAATGATGCACTGAGAAGTGTGAAAGTACTTGAGCTAAAGATTTCCACCCACCGTTGCTTGTCTTGCAAAGATCGCCCGTCTGCGATTGTATACATACATACATATATATATATATATATATATATATATATATATATATATATATATATATATATATATATATATATATATATATATATATATATATATATATATATATATATATATATAATATATATATATATATATATATATATATATATATATATTAACAAGTCGGCCGTCTCCCACCGAGGCAGGGTGCCCCAAAAAGAAAGAAAATCCCCAAAAAGAAAATACTTTCATCATTCAACACTTTCACCTCACTCACACATAATCACTGTTTTTACAGAGGTGCTCAGAATACAACAGTTTAGAAGCATATACGTATAAAGATACACAACATATCCCTCCAAACTGCTAATATTCCGAACCCCTCCTTTAGAGTGCACGCATTGTACTTCCCATTTCCAGGACTCGAGTCCGGCTATATAAAAATAACCGGTTTCCCTGAATCCCTTCACTAAATATTACCCTGCTCACACTCCAACAGCTAGTCAGATCCCAAATACCATTCGTCTCAATTCACTCCTATCTAACACGCTCACACACGCTTGCTGAAAGTCCAAGCCCCTCGCCCACAAAACCTCCTTTACCCCCTCTCTCCAAACTTTTTGAGAACGACCCCTACCCCGCCTTCTTCCCCTACAGATTTATACGCTCTTCATGTCATTTTACTTTGATTCATTCTCTTTACATGACCAAACCACCTCAACAACCCCTCTTCAGCCCTCTGACTAATACTTTTATTTACTCCACACCATCTAATTTCCACACTCCGAATTTTCTGCATAATATTTACACCACACATTGCCCTTAGACAGGACATCTCCACTGCCTCCAGCCGCCTCCTTGCTGCAGCATTCACAACCCAAGCTTCACACCCATATAAGAGTGTTGGTACTACTATATTTTCATACATTCCCTTCTTTGCCTCCGTAGATAACGTTTTTTCTCTCCACATTTACTTCACTGCATCACTTGCCTTTTTTCCTTCATCAATTCTCTGATTAACCTCATCCTTCATAAATTCATCCGCTGACACGTCAACTCCCAAGTATCTGAAAACATTCACTTCTTCCATACTCCTCCTCCCCAATTTGGTATCCATTTTTTCTTTATCTAAATCATTTGATACCCTCATCACCTTACTCTTTTCTATGTTCACTTTCAACTTTCTACCTTTACACACTCTCCCAAACTCGTCCACTAACCTTTGCAAGCTTTCTTTAGAATTTCCCTTAAGCACAGTATCATCAGCAAAAAGTAACTGTGTCAATTCCCATTTTGTATTTGATTCCCCATAATTTAATCCCACCCCTCTCCCGAACACCCTAGCAATTACTTCTTTTACAACCCCATCTATAAATATATTAAACAACCATGGTGACATTACACATCCCTGTCTAAGACCTACTTTTACTGGGAAGTAGTCTCCCTCTCTTCTACACACCCTAACCTGAGCCTCACTATCCTCATAAAAACTCTTTACAGCATTTAGTAACTTACCACCTATTCCATATACTTGCAACATCTGCCACATTGCTCCCCTGCCCACTATCATATGCCTTTTCTAAATCCATAAATGCAATAAAAACTTCCCTACCTTTATCTAAATACTGCTCACATATATGCTTCAATGTAAACACTTGATCTACACATCCCCTAACCACTCTAAAAACTCTTTGCTCATCCACAATCCTATGTTCTATCTTACCTCTAATTGTTTCAATAATAACCCTACCGTACACTTTTCCTGGTATACTCAGTAAACTTATTCCTCTAAAAATTTTACAATCTCTTTTGTCCCCTTTCCCTTTATATAAAGGGACTATATATATGCTCTCCGCCATTCCCTAGGTACCTTCCCCTCTTTCATATATTTATTAAACAAAAATACCAATCACTCCAACACTATATCTCCCCCTGCTTTTAACATTTCTGTCATGATCCCATCAGTTCCAGCTGCTTTACCCCCTTTCATTCTACGTAATGCCTCACGCACCTCCCCCACACTTACATCCTGCTCTTCTTCACTCCTAAAAGATAGTATACCTCCCTGGCCAGTGCATGAAATTACTGCCTCCCTTTCTTTTTCGACATTTAAAAGTTCCTCAAAATATTCTCGTCATCTACCCAACACCTCCATCTCCCCATCTACTATCGCCCCTACTCTGTTTTTAACTGACATATCCATTCGTTCCCTAGGCTTTCTTAACTTGTTTAACTCACTCCATATATATATATATATATATATATATATATATATTATATATATATATATATATATATATATATATATATATATATATATATATATATATATATATATATCGAAACTCAATAGTTTCACAAAAAAAGTAATGAACATTCCAGGTGCTTTCCTCGGAGTGAAATGATATCATTTCTGTTAAGAGTAGGTTCACAGCACTCACTCAGAGCAGGTTCACAGCACTCGCTCAGAGTAGGTTCACAGCACTCGCTCGGAGTAGGTTCACAGCACTCGCTCGGAGTAGGTTCACAGCACTCACTCAGAGTAGGTTCACAGCACTCGCTCAGAGTAGGTTCACAGCACTCGCTCAGAGTAGGTTCACAGCACTCGCTCAGAGTAGGTTCACAGCACTCGCTCAGAGTAGGTTCACAGCACTCGCTCGGAGTAGGTTCACAGCACTCGCTCGGAGTAGGTTCACAGCACTCACTCAGAGTAGGTTCACAGCACTGACTGTGAGTAGGTCCTCAACCCAGAGCACATAGCCCCTTTGGCGCTCAGTTACACTGTTGCTATTCTATACAATTCAAAGTCTCTGGTATGAGACGATTAACTATTGGAGAGATTGCTAGCTTAATTAAGTAATCCCTAGAGATTGTTTCTCGAAAATAACTAAATAGGTCGCCTTTCCATACAAGAATGTAAATATTGATAAATTATTTGTGGAGTGGTTATTTAATAATTTATAACAACTTAAACATAAAATTATGTTCTTTTATGTGAAGTGTCACTAGGTGTCACATAACAGCCCCGAGAGAATGCGATTTTATTTTTAACCTGATTGCTAGATACGAAAAGGGGCTTAATATAAGTATTAAATAAAGATCTGAAAGAAGCGTCGAAAGTCATTATTTCGCTATTGTTACGACATAAGGCCAGTAGTTGTAACAATTTCCATTCTTCCTCGCAGCTGGCTGGCGAGCTGTCATCGTCCTCAGTGTGTAAATATTAGGAAAATCTTCATACATCATGGTATATTCGTGATCCCAAAATTCTTGTTTAGTCCCAAGAATTTTTTCTGAAGTCACTATCATTTCCACCAGGCAGGTGATGCTGCTTGTGATGTCGATGTTAGACAACACCGAGGCAGCAGAAAGTCCTCACTTTCTGCTGAAGGGACAGTGTCCCGTAGTGACGCTGGCAGAGGGCTTCGACGCACAGAAGGTGAGTGTTCATCAAGCATCATCTTCCCAATGGTGACTATCAACAAGAGAGCTTCGACACAGATGGTGACTGTTGTCATGGCATGGCGACTAAGGTGTGTTGTCAGCGCATGGCGACTCTGATGAGTGTTGCCAGTGCATGGCGACTCTGGTGAGTGTTGTCAGGGCATGGCGACTCTGGCGAGTGTTGTCAGAGTATGGCGACTCTGGTGATTGTTGTCAAAGCATGGCGACTCTCGTAAGTGTTGTCAGAGCATGGTGACTGGTGAGTGTTGTCACAGCATGGCGACTTTGGTGAGTGTTGTCAGAGCATGGCGACTCTCGTGAATGTTGTCAAAGCATGGCGGCTCTGGTGAGTGTTGTCAAAGCATGGCGACTCGGGTGAGTGTTGTCAAAGCATGGCAACTCTCGTGAGTGTTGTCAAAGCATGGCGACTCTGGTGAGTGTTGTCAAAGCATGGCAACTTTGGTGAGTGTTGTCAAAGCATGGCGGCTCTGGTGAGTGCTGTCAGAGCATGGCGACTCTGGTGAGTGTTGTCAGACCATGGCGACTCTGGGAAGTGTTGCCATAGCATGGTGACCGGTGAGTGTTGTCAGTACATGGTGCCTCTGGCGAGTGTTGTCAAAGCATGGCGACTCTGGTGAGTGTTGTCAGAGCATGGCGACTCTGGGAAGTGTTGCCAGAGCATGGTGACTCTGGAAAGTGTTGCCATAGCATGGTGACTGGTGAGTGTTGTCAGAGCATGGTGCCTCTGGTGAGTGTTGTCAGAGCATGGCGACTCTGGTGAGTGTTGTCAGGGCATGGTGACTCTGGGAAGTGTTGCCAGAGCACAGCGACTCTGGGAAGTGTTGCCATAGCATGGTGACTGGTGAGTGTTGTCAGAGCATGGCGACTCTGGTGAGTGTTGTCAGAGCATTGTGCCTCTGGTGAGTGTTGTCAAAGCATGGCGACTCTGGTGAGTGTTGTCAGAGCATGGCGACTCTGGGAAGTGTTGCCATAGCATGGTCACTAGTGAGTGTTGTCAGGGCATGGTGCCTCTAGGGAGTGTTGTCAGAGAATGGTGACTCTGGTGAGTGTTGTCAGGGCATGGTGACTCTGGTGAATGTCGTCAGGGCATGGTGACTCTGGTGAGTGTTGTCAGGGCATGGTGACTCTGGTGAGTGTTGTCAGGGCATGGTGACTCTGGTGAGTGTTGTCAGGGCATGGTGACTCTGGTGAGTGTTGTCAGAGCATGGCGACTCTGGCGAGTGTTGTCAGACCATTGAGACTCTGGCGAGTGTTGACAAAGCATGGCGACTCTGGTGAGTGTTGTCAGAGCATGGCGACTCTGGGAAGTGTTGCCAGAGCATGGGGACTGGTGAGTGTTGTCAGAGCATAGTGACTCTGGTTAGTGTTGCCTAAGCATGGTGACTCTGTGAAGTGTTGCCAGAGCATGGCGACTTTTGGAAGTGTTGCCAGAGCATGGTGACTGGTGACTGTTGTCAGACCTTGGTGCCTCTGGTGAGTGTTGTCAGAGCATGGTGCCTCTGGTGAGTGTTGTCAAAGCATGGCGACTCTGGTGAGTGTTGTCAAAGCATGGCGACTCTGGTGAGTGTTGTCAAAGCATGGCGACTCTGGTGAGTGTTGTCAAAGCATGGCGACTCTGTTGAGTGTTGTCAAAGCATGGCGACTCTGGTGAGTGTTGTCAAAGCATGGCGACTCTGGTGAGTGTTGTCAGAGCATGGCGATTCTGGTGAGTGTTCTCAGAGCATGGTGCCTCTGGTGAGTGTTGTCAGAGCATGGTGCCTCTGGTGAGTGTTGTCAGAGCATGGTGCCTCTGGTGAGTGTTGTCAGAGCATGGTGCCTCTGGTGAGTGTTGTCAAAGCATGGCGACTCTGGTGAGTGTTGTCAGAGAATGGTGACTCTGGTGAGTGTTATTACGGCATGGTGACTCTGGGGAGTGTGTCTACTGGTGACTCTGGTGAGTGTTGTCAGTGCTGGGTCTTGGTGAGTTTTTGTCAAAGGTGGAAAACTCTGGGAGTTTGTCAGGCATGGTGACCGGGTGATGTTGTCAGGCATGGCGACTTGGTGAGTGTTGTCAGAGCAGGCGACTGGGATTTTGTCATTTAGGTGACTCTGGTGAGTGTTCTCAAACATGGTGACCGGTGAGTTTTGTCAGAGCATGGACTCGGGAGAGTGTTGTCAAGCATGGTGACTCGGTAATGTTGTCAGGCATGGTGCTTGGTAAATTTTGCATGCAGGGTTTACCTGGTGAGTGTTGCAGAGCATGGGCCGGGGTAGTTTTGCAGAGCATGGGACTTGATGATTTTGTCAGAGCATGGTATTGGGTGAATGTTGTCAGTGCAGGTGATTGGTAAATTTTTGCGTGCAGGTGACTCTGGTGATGTTGTCAGAGCATGGTGACTTGGGGGGTTTTGTCAGGCAGGGGTGACTCTGTGTTTTTGTCAGACTGGTGACTCTGATGAGTGTTGTCAGGAATGGGGACTCTGGTGGTGTTTTTGGGGCCCTGTACCGGGAGTGTTGCAGGCATAGGACTCTATGATGTTCTCAGGCATGGTGATTGGTGAATTTTTGTCAGTGCATGGGACTCTGGTGAATGGTCAGTGCATGGTGACTCTGGTGAGGTTGTCAGTGCATGGTGACTCGGTATGTTGCCAGAGCTGGGACTCTGGTGTGTTGTCAGACAGGGGTACTCTGGTAAATGTTGTCATGATGGTGACCTGGTGAGTTTTTGTCAGTGCGGGTGACTCGGTGAGTGTTCCCAGAGCATGGTGATTGGTAATGTTGTCGAGCAGGGTGACTCTGGTGAATTTGTCATGCGGGTGACTCGGTGAGTGTTGCCAGAGATGGTGTCTCGGGAGTTTTGTCAGAGCAGGGTGACTCGGGTGAGTGTTGTCAGGCAGGGTGACTCTGATGATGTTGTCAGGCAAAGGTGACTCTGGTAAATGTTGTCAGGCATGGTGACTCTGGTGAGTTTTTGTCGTGATGGTGACTCTGTGAGTTTTTTCAGAATGGTGACCTGATGGTGTTGTCAGTGCATGGTGACTCTGGTGAATGTTGAGTGCATGTGACCGGTGGTGGTCAGTGCATGGGACTCGGGGTGAGGTTGCCAAGCAGGTGACTTGGTGAATTTTTTTTTAAAGGCATGGTGATCTGGTGAATGTTGCCAGGTGACTCTGTGGTGTTGTCATGCTGGTGACTCTGGTGAGTGTTGCCAGAGCATGGTGACCGGGTTAATGTTGTCAAGATGGTGATCTGGTGAATGTTGCATGCAGGGATCGGGTGATTTTTGCCAGAGCAGGGTGTCTCTGGGAGGTTGTCAGGCAGGTACTCGGGTGAGGTTGTCAAGCATGGTGACTTGGGAGTGTTGTCAGACATGGTGACTGGGGGTGTTGTCGGCATGGTGACTCGGTGATGTTGCCAGAGCATGGTGACTCGGGGTGAGGTTGCAGAGGAGGTAACTCTGGTGAGTTTTGTCAGGGCATTGGCCGGGTGGGGTTTTTGTAGAGCATGGTGATTTTGGTGAGTGTTGCAGTTCAGGTGATTTGGGATTTTGTCAGAGCATGGTGACTCTACTGGGGTTAGTCAACCATTGTGACTCGGGTGATTTTGTCAGAGCTGGTGACCTACTGGTGTAGTAACCATTGGACTCGTGGTGTTGTCAGGATGGTGACTCTGGTAGTTTGTCAGAGCATTGGCCCTCTAGAGTGTAGTCAGCCATTGTGCTTGGTGATTTTTTCAGGGATGGTGACTCTGGTGAGTGCTGCCCGAGCTGGGTCTCGGGTGAGTGTTGTGAAGCAGGGACTCGGGTGAGTGTTGTCAGTGCAGGGGCGACTTGTTAGTTTTTCGTTCATAAAGCCCTTTGTGGTGTTGTCAAAAAGGGACTCGGTGGGGGTTGTCGGGGAAAGGTGACTCTATTGAGTTTGTAAAACATGGTGACTTGGTGAGTGTTGCCCCGGGGCTGGTGACCTGGTGAGGTTGTCAAGCATGGGGACTCTGTTGAGTGTTGTCATTCATGATGACTCTGGTGAGGTTGTTCGGCGTGTTCGGTGATTGTGTCAGGCATGGTGACTCTGTTGAGTGAGACAACCATGTGCCCTTGGTAGTGTTGTCAGGGCGGGTGACTCTGGTGATTTTGTCCGAACAGGGTGTTTGGGAGGTTGTAAAACATGGGGACTCTGGGGTGTTGTCAAGCATGGGACTCTGGGATTTGAGAGCTGGGACTCTGTTGAGTTTGTCAGTTCTGATGCCCTTTGGGATGTTGTTTGGGAAAGGTGACTCGGGTGAGGTGTCATACATGGTGACTCGGGTGGGGTTTTTCAGTTTAGGTGACCGGGTGAGTGTTACAGAACAGGGTGCCCAAGTGATTGTTGTAGAACATGGCGACTCTGGTGAGTTTTGTCAGGATAGGGCGACTAGGGTGAGGTTTCAGAACATGGCGACTCGGGTGAGTTTGTCATACGGGGCGACTCTGGGATGTTGTCAAACCCATGGCGACTCGGGTGATGTTGTCAAAAAAGGCGACTCGGGGAAAGTGTTGTCAAAAAACAGGGCGACTCTGGTGAGTTTTGTCAGAACATGGTGACTTGGTGAGGTTGTCATTTTAGGTGACTTGGTGAGTGTTATCAGAACATGGGATAGTGATTGTTTGCAGAACGGGGCGACCGGTGAGTGTTGTCAGGATATGGCACCTGGGGAGGGTTGTCACCAGGGCACTCTGGTGAGTTTTTTTCATCGGGCGACTCTGTGAGTGTTTCAGACCAGGCGACCTGGTGGGGTTTTTGTCAGAACATGGGGACTCTGGGTGTTTCGTACAGGCGACTTGGTGAGTGTTGTCAGAACATGGGACTCTGGGGGTTTTGTCAGAACATGGCGCTCTGGGGGGTTTTTCATAAGGGCGCCTTGGTAGTGTTTTCCTACATGGGACTCGGTGAGTTTTGTCAGAACATGGCGATTTGGTGAGTGTTGTCATACATGGGATTTGGGTGAGGTTGTCAAAAA